GATTGCATTAACAACGAGACGATAGCCTCGGGCTCTGGAGACGGATCTATTAGGCTGTGGAACGTAACCGATGGAAGACAATTGGATGTCGTATTGTGTGATCCAAACGAAACGCTTGACACGAACCGCGCGAATGGCACACAATTTCCGGTTAAGAAATTAGTGACAAATCGCAAGACAAATGCAAACCTATTGTGTGTCTCTTTCTATAAGCAATGTTTGGTTAAAGTCTTCTCTATTGACTCGTTATCTCTAAAACTGATCCATACATTGACTTTGGCTGAAGAGCCCATTGATATAGAGTTTGATAAGAATGAAAGCGATATCTTATGGGTTCTGTCGGCAAGAGTTAAGCAAATGATTAATATTTACAAAATAAGTGCTGAAAATATAACCGAATCTAATATTTATGAGAATTCAATCAAACAAATCAATTGTAACGAAACCTTTCAAAACAATTGTATTAATGAAAGCAAAATCAATGTTTTGGACGGACTCTACAAACACTGGTTTAATAATGTGGAGACATATCTCCAGAAAAAACTCGAGAGACAAGAAGTTATGACTAAAAAGAAAAAGTTTAACAGATTTTAAGCCATATATTATGTTATGATTTATGTTATGATCTCATGCTGTATATGATATCATGTTTTGTACAAACATTTAAAGTTTGAATTTATTTCCTATTTTTGTCGAAAGTTTTTTTTGTTAATAAACGAGATTTTTCGAGAACTTTGTTTGCCATCAAAACATATATTCAATGATAAGTAGAAAAACTGAAAATTCATTTACAAGAAAAAAAGTAATTAATCTTTTAATTATAAGTTATCAGTTATAACACAACTATAAGAGTAAATATGATTAAATTGTTTTGCGATAATAATTGGCGAATCAAATGCTAGCATAAAAGCGACCACAATGTGGTAACAAAACTTTTTTATATGAAAACAAATTGCGAAAAGTAAATAACAATTATAACAACTATTTATTAATAACAACTTCTAACTCGTTATTAGTGCAAAAATAGTTGCATTAATAGTGCAAAAAAATTCCGATATAAAAAGTTGCATCAAAACAGTGTTGTATTTCAATCGCACATTGGATTCAATGCAATCATAATTGCATTGCGAAAGAGGAGTGCAATCCTGTCGTCAACCCCTCTATGCCTGCGAATGGACTCAACTGTTGACAACTTGTGAAGCGATTTGTATTGTTTTGTCGTTTATTTTTGGTCTCATTTCCACTCAAAACTCAATTCAATTACCATTTGATTAGTTATTTATCAATACATTTAATGTCACTCTAATTGATCCGTTAGTCTCTTTGTTTACATTAACCATTCATACAATATATTGAAATGAGTAATATATACATTCAAGAACCGCCAACCAATGGCAAGGTATGTCTTCGCCCAATTGATCCCTTCCGTTGTCTTTGCGGACACAAATTTATTAAATGTTTTTTGTTGTAATGTTTTGTTAGGTATTATTGAAGACAAGTGTCGGCGATATCGACATCGAGTTGTGGTCGAGAGAGTGTCCGAAGGCGTGTCGAAACTTTGTCCAGTTATGTCTCGAAGGCTATTACGATAACAACATTTTCCACCGACTGGTCAAAGGGTTTATCGTCCAAACGGGAGACCCGACGGGAACGGGAATGGGAGGCGAATCCATATACGGACAGCCATTCAAAGACGAGTTGCATTCGCGGCTGCGATTCGTGCGAAGAGGTCTCGTGGCGATGGCCAACGGCGGCACCAAAGACGACAACTCCAGCCAATTCTTCTTCACGTTAGACACGTGTCCGGAGTTGCAGAACAAACACACGATATTCGGGAAAGTGTCGGGAAATACCATCTATAATATGATTAAACTCGAAGAGAGTCAAGTCGACCAAAACGAGCGCCCGTTATATCCGCACAAAATAATTTCGGCCGAAATTCTGTTGAATCCGTTTCCGGATATCATTCCGAGGATTAAAGAGAAGAAAACGGAGTCTAAACCCGAAGCGAAGTCCAAATCGAAGGCTACGAAGAATTTCAGTTTACTTTCGTTCGGCGAAGAGGCGGAAGAAGAGGAGGAAGAGGGCGCCAAAGCCTCCGAAGAGTTTCGCGGGAAGAGTAAAAGTAGTCACGATTTGCTGAAAGACGACCCGAAGTTGAGTGCAGTGCCGGCCGTCGAGACCAACGATTTGATGACTTCTGACGAAGANGTTTGACGAAGATTTCGGTTTCGGTGCACTCTTTGGCTGCTTTTGAGTGTTTGCGGCCGAAGAAGTGATGTCCGGAGGGGACGACATCTCTGCATCGCTCGCCGAGTTTGAGACGCGTTCAGTGACCGGACGGTTGCCAAACATTTGCTGCAACTGTTGTGCCCTCTCGTGCTCTTCACTTGGGACCGGATTGTGCTGTCCCTCAGCCGCTATGTCTTCGCCGGCCGTCTCGAAGAAGGATCCGATCGCCAGCTGACGATCAATTCAAGACATGTTAAGCGTTTGTTTATGTGTGACAATCGGTGGTAACACTACCTGCAGATCCCATTGGGCCGACTCCAAGTAAAACTGACCTCTGGTCGCGTCCACACCTGTCCTCCGAAGCCAACAACGCGTTAATACAACTGACAATCAAAACACAAAATGACAATTCATTTCACTCTTACCAGTGATGTTACAGAAGTTTGAGATCATCTCATCCTTGTCTCCAGGCGTCGAATCCATGGTGTGATCAGTCGATTGGATTCAATGGGCGAATGGTTTGCAGTAATAATTGTTTAAATTGTGTGCAAATTATGGCTACAATTGACACTCAATTAACTGCAAGTCATTCACGCTTTCAATGCTTGCAATCGTTTCAATGCATTTATGGCACGGTTTGCACGCATTGCAGGCAAACCTACTTTACATGCCTTACAAATGCCATGCAATCGACACCGCATTACATAATACACAACCAATTCATCACATTTTATTGTCAACTCTTTTCATCACATGTTTATTACTCGCATTCAATTGCATTCAAATAAAAAAAAATTAAAAAACTAATTAACAAAAGAAATTAAAAAAAAGTAGTGTTAATATTGATGGCAAAAAAGTTTGTGTCAGAAGTGGGATTCGAACCCACGCCTTCCGAAGAAGACTGCGACCTGAACGCAGCGCCTTAGACCACTCGGCCATCCTGACTAGTTATGTGGCTTAGGCTATAAACAGCCAATCATTCAAACGCTTACATCCAATATGTGTTCACTCAATGCGCTCAACACGTGACACACCGTTAGTGTTGTTTACCATTGAATAAGCGATGCTTTTGTCGATCGGCACCACATTTGCGGCCATTTGGGACACAACTGACCATCAATTGGCGTTATTTGACCTGAAGATCGGTTCCAAGACTGTCATTGATATCGATGTCCAACCAATGAATGGCAATGAAGTGAAACAAAGCGATACGACTGCCTATGATATGGTTTGCGGCAGTTTTAGCCACGGATGCGATTATTTGGCCGTTTGTGACAATCGGAAGCAATTGATTGTCTTTGAAAAGGTGTCCAACACTTGGAGGCAAACAATGCGGACAAAAGTGTCCCGAAATTGCATTCGCGTGTTGTTTGCGGTCAACAATAAGGCAGTGATTTGTGGCCACAAAAGCGGTGATGTATTTGAACACGAGTTGACCGCAGGTAACGACACGCCGACCGCCGGACGGCTATTGTTAGGCCACTGTTCAATGCTCTTGGATTTGACGCAAACAAATGACTCAAAATACTTGATTACCACCGATAGAGACGAGAAGATTCGGGTCACGTGTTATCCAAACACTTATAATATTCAGAGCTATTGTTTGGGACACAAAGAGTTTGTCTCAGCTGTGGATTGCATTAACAACGAGACGATAGCCTCGGGCTCTGGAGACGGATCTATTAGGCTGTGGAACGTAACCGATGGAAGACAATTGGATGTCGTATTGTGTGATCCAAACGAAACGCTTGACACGAACC